CGACTCGTTGGTCGAGCTGACATCGTGGCGGCTTCGCCCAATCCTGACGGGAACAACGTTGGAGGCGTTGAGTCTGTCTGGGAGATCAAATTTGTCTCACAACTTTCAAACCAGCATGTCATACAGGCATGTACATATGCCTACTTGTTGGAGCTCCCGCGCATTATACTCTACAATGTACGAAATGGGGAGAAGTGGAAGATCACACCTCGTGAGGGGCAAGAGGGGTTGCGTTCCATGATTGAACGCGTTCTAAAACTCAAGCATACAACCAAGGGAAAGATGAGTGATGAGGAGTTCACCGAGATGTGTACCGGGGTGAGCTTGGAAGTGCTGAATCTACGTTCCCAGATGGTTCACGGCAGTGAAGAGGCGTCTGTTTTGCCCTTATCAAGATTTGGCAGCGAGGGCCTTCGAACCGACAGGAATTCTACAAAGATGCAATGAGCTACCACCACGCTGTAGACTACGGGCACCCGGAGATGTTGGTAGGCACGGAGTTTTCCGATACGTATATCCCAAATGCAAGAGCACAGTATAGGAGGGTCGAAGGCAAAGCTAAGATTCTATTTATGATAGAAGATTTCAGATGGGAAGAAGAAAAAAGGGAGAACTAGATACAAGCGTGCAAACTCAAATAAAAATATTCTGGTCGTACGAGCGATAGCGGGACCTATATGTGGGTCGCTGGTTGCTAGCGCCATTACAGTAATTAGTGATGGAGAAGTTGCTAAAGAAACACTGGGATTGTATTAATATTTTTAGTAAGAAAGATTTAAATACTCTTTTAGAGTTTAAAGAAAAGATTAATTATAAGATTGAATTTGAGAAAAGAAAGAGTTCCTAGGATTTTGGATATAATTCGTTATATAAAATAATTTTGTAGGAGTTGGAGGAATATTATTAATATATTATTGAAAACTTTTAAAAGGGTTTTATTAAAGTAAGTTTAATACTATAGGTAGCCCCTATTTTATTTATTCTTAAAGTTAATAGAGGTCTACATTTTTATATAAAGTACTATAAATTTAATACGTTATTAAAGAAGAACCAATACCCCCTTTATTTATTGATAAGATATTAGTCTATATTAATTACTAAGGGAATTGAGCCTAGCGGACTCTATAATACAATTCTTAGAATGTAATAATACTAGCAGAGTCCGTCTAACGGAGGACCTCCCTAATAATAAGATTCCACCGCTCTGGTGGAGTCTATAGTACGGCGCTCTAGGCGGCCTCAGAAGAAGGCTATATAGAGGTCATTAGAATAGAAGACACTAATTGAGAATATATATATACTTAAAATTTAGTACCGAAGTTATAAATAGATAATTTAGGAATATACCGACTTTTATCAAACTAGTAGCTAATTATTAAGTTATTACTTGGAGAATAGGAATAAAATATAAATATTATAAATATTTAAGGATCCCTTTTTAAGCTGAAGAAATATTCCGTCCTTAAGGATAGAATTAATAAATAAACCTCCCTTAAATTATATAGATTAAATATAGCACTGTTTTTAATATTGAAAATACATTTTCTAAATAGAAATAGATAGAGTAAGACGTATATTTTATATATATTTAAGTATCAAATACTTTACCCATAGGTATTAAACGTCAAAACCTGGCCCTTTACTTCTTTAAGTATTTCTTAACCTTTCCTAGTTACTTTCTTAGTTTATTATCTACCGATTCTAATAAGTCTTTCTTTTAAACTCCTTCGCGCTTTTAGATCTTCAACTATTATTACTTCGTATTCTCTTTCGGCTACTCTCTCGTCTAGGTCTTTAATATAATACGCTCCCGCTACGCCGATTTTAGTATTGCTAGGTTGGACGATTAGATAGCCAATAATACTACATTTTGAGACTTTTGAAATAATTGCGTTTGTATTGAGTGTTACAGTGGTTACGTATATAGTGCAGGATGGGAAGAGTAATTATTTAGAAGGTAGATGGCACCTCGAGAAGGAAGCATTAGAAAGGGGTCTTTGGTGGAAGCTAGCCCTTGAGGCGGATCTTGAAGGTAAGCTCGCTTGTCTCCCACTTCCTTAATGAGCATTGATCTAGTTAATCCTGATAATACGCTCTAGGGTATATCAACTATCTCTGGCATTCCGTCCTTGGTTGGACTCCGGATGAGACGAAAGCTTTTGCCCGTCATATGAAAAGGGAAATGAATGATCCCAACATCCACGGGTATTTCGTGGCACGTGTTGCATGGGGTTGCAAGCCGGAATAAGCATCTCGACAGTAGGAATAGCTCTTTGGAGCCAAATTGAGCGCTAGGATAGATACGTTTCTGAGCTCTTTGGGATAAGGTTGTTTAAAATGCGTTGCAGTTTGGAGTACACATTAACGCCGCTTTCTATCTGGGCAATGACAAGGGAGATATACGCAGTATATACCTGTGGCTTTCTCTTATATTCGACATAATTAAGGAGAAACCGAGTGGATTCGGGAAGTGGTCAAGCGTTGAGAGCCTATTGTCTGATATTCCATCTCAGGTGTCTGAAGCGTACGAAAAGATCTTGAGCAGAAGCCAGGATGAAGTACAAACCGATATACTTCTCCGAATCACCCTCACCGCTGCACGGCCCCTGACTCTCGACGAGGCAAACGTTGCGTTGACATTAGCTTTACAGAAACAACGGTTCACATCATACGCGGCCGTTGAATCAGAATTGTGGCCAAGAGACAACTTCCGAAGCATCGTCAAGAACTTATGCGGCCTCTCCATCAGCGTCCACGACTCAAAGCCGTCTTTTATTCATCAGACAGCGAGGGAATTCCTCATCAATCCTCAACGACAAGGCAAGTGGGAAGGGCGCTTGAACATGCGAAAGTCGCACAGCACGATGTCACTGGTCTGCCTTCACTATTTACTGCTGCCAGATCTCGCAACACCAGTTCAGAACTCTCCCGGTAGTCAAGAACGCTCATTCCTCCCGTACGCAGCTGTCCACTGGCCTTCGCACCACATCTCGCAGGGAGATGTCCTTACAGACCGATCACGGAAGGATGCGCGCGTGCTCTGTAATGTGGTTGGGAAGGCGATAGTTTGGGCGCCTAACTACTACGAACGGAGGTAGATCAGTTGGCGAAATTGGACTGATTTGGCTCTGGCGAGCTATCTGGGTCTAAAGCTGGTCGTCGAAGATATCTTGGCCGAGGAGAAAATAGATGTTAATGTACAAGGATGTTGAGGATGTGGTTGTTAATTCGTTGAGCTTGTTGTTAATGCGATTTAGGACTTCAAGAATTTGTTGGATATCGCTAGAAATGACGTCAGTTTGAGTAGAGGAAGAAGAGGGAGTGGATTGTATATTAGTTTTAGCAAAATTGTAAAGGTGTTGGATTTGAAGTTTAATTAATTCGATTTCGCTCTTAAGCGCCTCTATTTTAAAACGGTTGGAACTAAAAACGGAAGAAAAGACGATGGTTGTATATAGTGTGAAGATGGGGAGATAGTGTTAATGTAAAAAGGGTAAAGTAAAGAATTTAGCGATAAGAGTGCCTAGCCTTTTATTCGGTCCGGACCGACAAAAAGGCTTAGTAAACCTATAAATATTGCTTCTACTAGCAATAATAAACGGCGCTGCTAAGTAGGTAGATTAAACTATTCTATTTAGGTACTAAGATATAGGGTAGCTCTTATTAATTAGTTAAAAGTTGTATATGGGGGAATTAGTTAGGGCTGCAAAATAGAGTATTGTTTGTAGAGTAGACGGCGTTTGACGAGCTAACTATAGCTTTAAGGATCCTAAGCCGACAACCTATAACTTTACTTAAAGTATATATGTGCCCGACTTTTTACTTATCTACCTTGACCTACCTCCTTTATTTGCCTGCTTTACCCTACTTTATTAGTCTGACTATTCGTCGCTTGGTAAAATCTAATGCCCGCTAATGAACGTTCTAGCCCAAATACTAAACCCTGCCAGTAAACGCCTGCAGCTTTATAAATAAGTCAACGGTAGGATTCTAAAATAAGTCGGTTGGTTCTACGGATCCGGAGTGGTGGATGCGGCAGGGGAGGAGGTTGGGTGTTGTTTTTGGAATGGGGGTTGAGGTTGAGGAGGAGGTGCTGGGGGTGAAAGCGAGGATTGGTTGTTGGGTCATTGTGACGAATTTCTGGATATTCCACTGATACAACTGGTTGCGTAAGTTGAATAAGTGAGCTGGATGGATATGGTGGTGATGAATCTCTTGTGGACGCGAATATCGAAAGTGAAAGACGGGCGCGGAGATGCGTGACAAGTAGGAACTTGATGCACGGATTACTTAGTTACTGGGCAGGTACATGCTTTGGGTAGAAGGTACATACGTTATACCAGGTGCGCTGATGGGGCTTGCAGGCAAGGTGTAGTAGCGAATGATTCTCAGAATAAACCCCGGGTGGACAGGGTGAACATAGTGGCAGGCACGGTTCCGACCCCTGGCGAGTATAAGATACCGGGCTGTATGGCCACTCGAGTGCTAGTAACCCGCGCGTTTTTAGTACAACGCGACCGTCCATTCACGAGTCTACAAACAGTGGGTCTTTGTTTACGTGTTTTGTCGAGACGGTTCTCCACAACTAGCATTTGTTTACCGCCTCCTTTGCCATTTCATTTTCCAAAACAATCAGCAATTCCCAGCACGCCGTTTCTCCAAATGGCCCTTTCAGAGCAACAGAAGAAGATCATCGCAGAACATCCGCTCGGTGGTACTCTTTACAGCGTTCGAGATCAGTTGCGCGACTCCAACGACGCCGACGAAACGCATCGAAAATATATCGCAGACCTTTTATTTGCGCTTTTCGGTTCTCCCGCCGCAGCCAAGTTTCCTTTTAAGGTGGAATACAGACTATTTACCTTACGACGGACTGTTCGAGACGGGGAGATAGCAAATCTCTCGTCCGACTTGTCGTTAACGACAATTCCAACAACAATTCCAACGACAATACCATTTAGGCTGCCGTCCTTAGCCTCCTCGACACCTCGACTCTCAAAATGACCCTTTCAGAGCAACAGAAGAAGATCATTGCAGACTATCCGCTCGGCGGTACTCTTGACAACATTCGAAACAAATTACGCGACTCCAACGAAGCCGACGAGATGTATCAGACATATATTTCAGGCCTTCTAGGGCTGCTTACCTCATTGACCGCAGTAATCGAATTTCCCCTTAACGTAGCAGGTAGACTAGTTGCCCTACGACTTGATCTTCGAAACGGGAAGATAGCAAATCTCGACCCATTCCGCCCTCTCGTCCGAGCTGTCGTCAACGACAATGCCAATGACAACTCCAACGACAATGCCAACGACAACTCCAACGACAATGCCAACGACAACTCCAATGATAATGCCATTTGGGCTGCCGTCTTTAGCCTCCTCGACACCTTGGCTCCCGGCACTCCCCCTCTTCGTCCCACCGCCCTGCCTACATTCAAAGGAACGCCTATTAAGTCCAGTTCAAATAGGCTCGCTGATAGTGCAGGGGTCGATCCTGTGGCAAAGGAATTGTTCTCGGAGATGAGATATTGCACCTTCCGCGATGTGGGGGGTTTTTGGGACAAATTCTTCAACCCTGAGAGCTGGCCCAACAAATACAAAGAGATGCTGGCTGAGATGAAGACAAAGCATGATGGAAAGACATGGACGGACTTCCCGCGTGGTACTCCTACTGAAGCACTAGTCTCGGCGTGGTTTCGCTCCCTGGAAAAGCCCTTTCTAGCCGACGCCCCGAACAAACTCCATACCACTACATCTGCCCACCAGTTTGAGGAAGGGAAAGGCCAGCTTGATCTTTTCTTACAAAGGTCAACTACGGAAGCGAGCACCATATATTCATACAAGAACGTTCTCGTTGTTGGGGAGCTAAAGCAGTCATACAATCCAGGCAGGTTTAAGGCGGATTTCCTGCAACTCACCCGCTATGTACGGAGTGTTTTCAATGACCAGCCGACCCGTCGATTCGTTCACGCCTTCCTTCTCTGCGGCTCCATGATGGAGCTCTGGATCTTCGATCGGGCTGGGGCGTATAGTTCAGGGCCGTTCGACATTCAGGAAGAGCCAGACAGGTTTGCGCGGGCTTTGGTCGGCTATTTGACGATGGATTCTGAAGCGATGGGGTTGGATACCTTCATTGAGCGAGTTGTCGAGGGAGAAGAACAACAACGCTACGTCACGCTGGAGGATAAGAGAGCCAGGCTACACACGGCAATGTACAAGCAGAATGCCATCGTGTGTCGCGGAACTACCTGTTTTACAACCTACGATAACGAGGTTGTCAAATTCGCTTGGGCATCGGGTAAACGGACATCGGAGGTAGAGCACCTAACGCAAGCAAAGAAAAACGGTGTCAAAGGGGTGGCTGAAATAGTTGCGCATCGCCGAATCACTAGCATTGCAGAAATGCGGAAGGGACTGAAGTTCCCAGCGGCTCACCCGTTTCGGGACGAGAATAGTGACTTTGACGACCTTCCATCGGCCACAAGCACTAATACATCGGGATCCAAGCGCAAGTCGCCGTCCGACGCCACTATCAACACCGCATCCGGATCTAATAAGAAGCAGCGCCCAAGTATCCCCAGAAAGGGGAGCATGCAGCCGCCGTCGTCGACAAGCAAGACCAAGCCGAGCATGCAGCCGCCGTCGTCGACAAGCAAGACCAAGCCGAGCATGCAGCCGCCGTCGTCGACAAGCAAGGCCCTGACCAAGCCGACGCCACCTACGCCTAGCGAGGACCTGTGGGAAGATAGAATCTATTCCTGCCTCGTCATCTCACCAGCCGGGCGCGTCATTAGCGAATTTTCCGCGATTAAGCAACTGCTAGAATCGATGCGAGATGCGATCAAAGCGCACCAATCTCTCTACGTCACTGGCAACATTCTCCACCGCGATATCTCTCCAAACAACATCATCATCACGGACCCCGAAACACCACATGACTTCAAGGGCATGTTGATCGACCTCGACATGGCTAAAGTACGAGATAGCGACCCGAGCGGAGCGCGACAAATTACTGGCACAATCCAGTTCATGGCGATTGAAGTAATGGAGAACGTCGGACACACATACCGTCACGACCTCGAATCGTTCTTCTACGTCCTGCTTTGGATGTGTGCGCGCCAATCATGGTCTAACGGACTTGCCGGCGGGGACGAGCAAGCACCTAACAAGAACTTACTTGACCGATGGGAGAAGGGTAACGATTATAGTCAAATTGCTCGGAATAAGAAAGGCGATATGTCGTCCAGAGTAATGTTTGAAGATGTTCTGAGTCAATTCCCAGAGTCGTTTAAGGTTTTGAAACCGCTCTGTCACTATATTAGGAAGATTCTTTTTGGTCCAGAGGGAGGAATGTTCTTAGGAACCCCCGAAGGAGACCCTGACCAACTCTATAGGCCCATTATAGAAGCTTATAGTGAGGCTATCGATAAGCTGTAGAGATTATATAGTGGGGGGAAGAAGAAAGTGAGACGATGGAAAGGGTGGTTGATTTTCTGTTATTTTAGTTGTAAAAGACACGCAGGACAATCGTCGCTTTGTCTTAGGATTTACTATTTGTAGGTTACTTATAAGGTTATAAAAGTTTAATCGGTTCGGGGCTATTATATCTAAGTAGTTCGATATTAATAATGAAGGTTTATAGTTTGTATTAACGGTCTTCGCGTTTCTCTAGATGAGCGAGGAGGAGCTTAGGTTCGATCTATTTATTATAAAGGAGGATAATAAGCAGTTCGTTTAAATTAAAAGAAATAATTTAATAGAGCGTTTTATTATTAATAAAGTAATATAATACGTATATTATATATCCAGCCAGGCAACGACCTACTAAAAGACCTATCCCGAGCGAGATTCATAAATGCTACTAGTTATTAAGAATTCTTAATAGTATTCTAAATGTAACAAAGAAGGGGAATTATTATAAAATACGACCGATAAAGGGGTTATAAACGTAGCTCAATACTATTACTATAAAACTGTCACAGTGAATAGAGGGAAGGAATGTGACAAAGCGACAATAACCGTACTATTGAATAAAGATCGAAAGATAAAGAAGAAAGAAAAAGAACTAAGTTACAAGAATGGATTTGGCATGTAAAGAAATAGATCCTATGCGTTGCCGGGAACCGGGTGGGGCCCGCAGGTCTAGGCGTTAGTGAATGCTACTGACCAGCGGCTGAGCCGCGCTGTTACAAAAACGGTCTAAGTGCGTAAAACTAATAATAATATTTAAAGTAATATTCGAGGAGGAATAGATATTAGTACGGCGAAGAATTATAGGCCGGAATGTTTAACGCTGCTAATTAAGACGGTTATAATTAATACCTTACAGAAAGGCCGTAGTACTAGTATAGTTAGTAAAAAATAATTATTTAACTAAACTAATACTATTTTATCCTTTAATAAGCAATTTTATACAGTATTTCCAATTAGTAATACATTGCTGAATCAGGTATATCGGTAAGCTATTCTTTACAATTATAGACAACCTATTTATAAAGTAAGTTCCCGAGCGGCCCTATTTATTGTATTGAAAAATTGTATTAATAAATACGAATTCCTATAGAAAAAGGCCGGCTTCCTTAATAAAGATATTTTTATTAATAACCTTATAATTAATAAGAATAATAATAACCCTTCTTAGCCTTCGTTCTTAATCGACTTAGACCTTACTATTAGAAAGGAACGAGAAAGTACTTCTGAAATAAAGAGTATAATTAGTACTAGAGCGTTTATAGCATTTAGGGTTTTTTTGGACGAAATAATATAGCGCTATAATATAATATACATATTACGGAGCAAGGCGATACTAAACGTATAGGGTAGAATATAACTTATATAATTATATAAGAAAGAAGGAAAATTATAGAATTTATATGTGGCGGCTTATTCTATATAGGCGAGGGTGAGCCGCATCCTTAGCATATGTAACTGGAGCCTCCGGGAGCGTATAGCTAATTAGGGGGCCCGCGTTGGCCTAGTAGCTACTATAGTAGTAGTAAAACTAAATAGATTAATTAATTAGAGAACGTATATTAACTGGTAATTATAGTTATAGTAATATAATGATTAAATAATAGTTATAGGTTAGCCTTATAATATTACCCCAGGCTTAAAATGCCTTCAGGTACTAGAATATATAGAGAAAAATTTACTAATCCTCCTCCCTTAGGAATTTAAAGCCTTCTATTACTATACTTATAACCTTCTCAAAGGTATTTACGGCCGGTATTACGCGTTAGGGCGACTATTTTATAGCTAGTACTATTGTTAATAGCTCTAGCCTAGTATAATTGTAAATTTTATTTAAAGTTTAAGTAGTATATTTACGCTTTCTTTTTATAATAGTTTATTATAGGAAGATAGGAGACTCCGGGTTATTATTATAGAATTTATAGAAAATATTAATATAATACTCTATATTACTTATTAATTTCTAAGTCGGTATATATAGTTTACCCTAAATAATATAGTACTCCTATCTATTATTTTTTAAACAGTAGGTGTTAATTCCTTCGAAGGATTATTTAATTATATTCTTAATATTGTTAGTATATTTTATTACCCTCCCTTAATCAGCCTGAATATTCTATATACTATCCTATTCTAGTATACCTTCTTCTATTTATAATTTTACTATACTAATATAGAAAGTGCAGCCGTATTTTATATTTAGCGGTAAATTGAGTATAATGTAATAGTTATTAGCTATAACTACTTCGAAAGGCCCTTTTTATAGGGGTAATAGTTTCATTTAAGGGCGGCCGGTAGTAAGGTTTGTAGTATTAAAAAGTACTTTATTTTTAAAGTAATATTATAATATATTAGAGTAAAAAATATTAGTACTTTCTTTATAGCGTACTTACGTACGTTTTACTATTATTATAATTTTTTTAAAGATTTTTTTAAACCGTTTAATAATTTCGCTAGATTTAAAATACTTTATATATTATAAGTCTAAGAGGCTAGGGGGGTAAGGTTATACCGGTTCGACGCTTATCTAGAGGTAGAAATTATAATTAGCGAAGAAGGGGGAAACGCCTATTAAATCTAATTTAATATTATTACCTACGAATTTAATAAAAGGTAGTTAATCGACCTAATTGTTTCAAACCTAATTTATATAAGTATAGAAGTAATATAATATTTTCATATTAAAATATTCAATTTATCTATTAATTTATTAATAAAAAGCCGAGGAGGGCCTTAATATAATACTTAATATTATAGAAAATACCTAAAATTATAATATAAATTAAGAACCTTTATTTAATATAATGATATTTAATAACTTATAAAGGACAAAGACTTTATTTATAAAGCGTTTAATAAACTCCTTAGTTGTTAGTATCTCTATTAAAATATAGTACTATATTTTAATTAATTTATTAATAACAATAGTAATATATTTAAATTCCCAGCCCCCTCTCTTATATAGGATTATAAATATTATATAATTTATAGTAATATCCTTCTATAACGCAAAAGGAATTAGTAACAGCTTTAAAAGGCTTACTAGGGAAGAGTAGGAATATTTCGTCTTTATATATTATAAATATACTTTATAATATAACCGTACTACTTTATTTACACCCAGCTAATAGAAAGACCTATTTAATATTATATATATTTTATTCTATTCTTAATAAACTACTAATATAGATTTATAATAGCGTTAAATAAATTATAATTAAAGGGCAGCGTTAGTAGGGTCTAGAATAACTATTAAACGTTTATACGCTCGTCTATTAATAATATAATCTTTTACGAATACTATTTTTCTTATTCTGTAGTAGATAGTTTTAAGCTATTTATAGCAATTTAGATTATTAATAGCGGCGATAATATTTTAGTAAAATACAGAATTATAATAATTAGCTTTAATTAATTCACTAAAGGATATTTCCTCTATACTAAATTTGTAAGAGGCAATATAATTTATAAATACAGACGGGTTAAAGAGGGTTTTATTTCTAATTAATAACCGGTCGTCATTTATATTGCTAAGTATATCCTCCGGCTTACGGTTTAATATATCGGGTCGTACTTAAAAAGTACCTAGCTAATATTTAATTATAAAATTTAATTAGAAGAGGAAATATAATTAATATATATATTAGAGTATAAACTTTTTATTCGTTGTAAAAGTCTATAAACCCTAATAGTCTATTAGAATTTCAAAACCGTTTTAAGCGCTTTAGAACTCTAAGAACTATCCCTCGAATATTTTAATAATAAATAATAATTCTTTATTATAAATATTATAATTATATTCAGCTACGGAGTACTTTTAGGAGAAGTAGGCTACCAGGTAGAGGATTCTTTTATTATTATATTAGGATAGTATATTGCCTAATACTTAATTCGAAGCGTCCGTCTCTACAACCGTCGGTTTTAATTAATTAAAGATTTTAAGGGTTAATTCTATAATAAATACCTTCTTTATTTCCTCTAAAATTATTTATTAAGCCTCGGCTTAAGACTATATAGCCGACCTCTTAATCAAATCGTATAAAGGGGCCGTAATAATAGAAAACCGGTCGATAAAACGCTTATAGAAATTTATAAAGCCTAAGAAATATTAAAATTACTACTATAATTATAGTACTTCCTATTCGGCAACGGCCTTTACCTTCTCTAAATCTATTTCAATACTCTTTAATATAATAATTAGTCCGAAGTACTTAATTCGCTTAATATTGAACTCGTATTTATTAATATCCAATTGAAGGCCTATATCGATTATACGTCGTAATACTTCGTCTATATATACTATATACTCAGCTTTATTCTTAGAGTATATTAAAATATTATTAAGGTAGGCTATAATATAAACATCCAAAATATTATAGAATATACCACTAATATAATTCTAAAACGTACTTAAAGCGCCCTATAATCCGAAAGGTAACATAAGAAACTTATAGAGGCCGAACTGTATAATAAATACAATAAATTATTTATAGCGTTCCTAAATATAAATTACGTCCAAAGTTTCTTTAATAAGCGGGAAGGGGTAACGAATCTTTAGAGTTACATTATTAATACTTTAATAATTAATATAAATACGGACTCCGCCATCTAGCTTTTTAATTGATAGTGATAATGATACTACTATAAATTAAGAGGGCCGGATAAACCCTTTCTAAAATTAATTATCGATTTATTTCTTAATAATGGAAGCCTCTATTAAAAATATTATATAGTAGCGGGCATTAAAGGGCCGTTCTCCTAGGGCGAATTCGATTTTATAATTATAAATACGTAAAGGAGGGAACTCTCCGGTATTATAATTACGAAAAGCCTTAATCCTATTCTAGTATTTTTAAAGGAGTTTAGCTTTAATTTCTTTATTAGTTTTAACCGGACAATCCACTTTTTTATAGAATTTTTGTATGTCTTCTTCTATAATTTTAATTATAATAACTTTGTAAATTATTATATCTTTATTTAAATATCCTAAAAGGGGTATAATATTAGTAATAATTATAGTTCGTAATTCTTTTAGTTTTACATCTCCCGTATAAATATTAATATATTTATAGAAGCGCTTGAACAATTCAGCTTTATACCATTATCCCCGGCCTTCGTAAATATCCTATACTATTTACTTTATAAAGTCGTTATACGGTTTACTTTTATAGAGGG